AAGGATCTTTTTAAACCAATTTATACCCGTCCTGTAAGTTTAAAATTTAAAGATGATACAATTTTCTTCAAAAAGAGTAAAAATGGAGAGTTTATCCTATCTGTATATGGAATGTATTTATAGTTGTAAGGTCGTCGAAAATCAATGAGAGAAACCCATACTACTTAAGTAGTTATTTTCCTACAGAGTTAGACATCTGGGCAGCTGGAAAGAAGTTCTTTTAAATACTGGCCCAATAAAGAGTCTGAAATATCTTAGGATTATGCCGCAAGACAAATTTTACAACTTAATTTAAGTAATATTTCAGAGTCAAAAAAACATTTCTAAATTTCGGTTAACAATTCCTGAGTTACAACATCTAATGCAAATACTAACAAATAAAATTCTTTGAGGGTATTTGGCAGCGGTGTCTGCCTACAACGGTGCTGTCGTCTATTAAGTCGCCAGAGTAGGAAAATAAGGAATTATAGTTTCTGCGCCGATTTTAGTTAACAAAAATAGCAACATCTCTACCTTCGCTACACGATGAATATTTCCCATCAGATCGAACGCAGCAAAAGAACGAAGCAGTTGCCAATCATTACTACCATTTAACCACGTCTTATAGACACAATTAAATTCAGTCCTACAATGTATTTTTTCACCAAACGTAGGGTTTGGGTTTTTGCTGAAGATCGAACGACAGTTTGTCGACAAAAGCCTGGGTTCATAATTCAATTTGTAGCTGACGCTTGAGTGCGAAATGCCAACCGCAGCGGTTTTTGTTGATGGGAATATAGTAGAGTTGACGTAGGGAGGTCACATGTTTGCAATAGTGCAACAGTTGGCATCACGCGCAGTTGTCAGTGAATTTTACGATCCAAGTTTCTTTAAAAGGTGTTAGCGTATTGTAGAGATGACCTTATAATCTTATTTTAGATAAATGAAGTGTGGAAAATATCAATACATCATAGGGAGATGGACAGAGTAATATACAGTTTCAAAGTTCCTACATGAGTATAGAACAAAAAATGGCGGCTAAAATTCCAAAGCCGCATTAAGACGTTTTAACTTACATAATTATTATCAGAAAAACTGAAGTATTCTCGATCACATTTTCTCAAGCCTTTGCCAGTGAATGAAATTTGCAATATAATTATTTAAAAATTGTACAATTTATTAAAAGATTTAACAATTATATCTGTTACAGCAATGTTTTGAATTCATGAACGTTAAGTAATCAATAAATCTTAATGATGGCCTATTTAATTTCTATTGGGAATATAGGAGTACAGTCTTACAGTCGCTTTATGCCCATAAAACGCCTCATCAATTTATTAATAGATAGATTCTGTGTTTTTTATGGTCCGTGGAGAGGGATGGATATTTTAGTAATGACAGCATCCTTTTGTTATAGTCCCTTTTGGTGAATATCGCAGTTGCGGCTCCTTTGTCTGCAGGAAGAGTGGTACTATTTTTATCACTTTTAAAAGTCCACAGTGTCTTTGTTTTCTTGTGAACTTGAACAGGAAAATGAATGTACTCTTTTGTGATATGTGCGGAGCTAGTGCGGTTTCTAAAGTGTTAATCGGCCGTAAGATTCAATACTTATATGATTTACTTCAATTTCGCAAAGGAAATATCGTGCCTTATGGCATCGGAAAGCTGATTTTCTTCGGTTATTTCAGAGGTGTAAGATAAGAGATTCACCATTTCTCTTTCAAATCTTACTTTACACAAGTTTACCGACAGGGGCGTGTCAACTTATTTTCAAAGTGTATACGTTTATATAGATATTCAGAAAAGCATTACCGACAAAGGCAGGGGAGACTGGAATGACTACTTCCGGTTTATTAGTCGTCGTTTGCCTGTGATACCTAACCCCTAAGTTGAAAACATCTATGACTCGACCCCGCGACCTGTTGTTTGGAAATCCAACGCCTCCGACCAACAGTTTGCAGGATCGAGCCCATGACGCCTCATACCTGAGGGTTGGGTATAACCGGCTGACGACGGCTAATAAACCCAAAGTGGCCATTCTAGCCTCTCATGTCTTTGTCGGAAATGCTATTATCTTCATATCCCGCGTCGCTCTGCGGCTGCTGACGAGGCTGACATGAGAGAGCGCCAAGGCGGCGCGGCTGGCAAGCGCCGCTCTACCATTGCATGCCTATGGGTACCAGATGGGCTAACTCATGAAATGTCAACCAAAATTTCAAAATCCTTTTTTGTTTCGAAAAGATTAATTAAGCAGAGTTGGGGAACTAATCATCCAGCAGCATAATTATATAATAGTTCAGTTACCCCAGAATGCCGGCTTCCGGACAAACGTCTTTTCGGCGGCATGCAAAAGCTATACTCTCTAAAAATAGACTACACAAGTAGCAGGCATTTTCCCAATAATTTCCGTTGCCCTTAAAAATTCAATTATATTTCATAAAAATCATGCATAACAATATTCATTCTTTTACTCATTCGGAGGAAAATTACGTCGTCTACTACTCTGACACTTGAAGAAAGGGTATTATTCTGTTTTTAAAGACTTTCTCTTCCGAAATAATTTTGGACCACACCTGCCGTTACACTAGCATTCAGGGTTTCCAAAATACAAACCATAAATTTTCCGCTTATGGAAAACCGCAAGTTTCTCTAGAGTACTAAGTGGACACCATATGGGTTTCTTAAAATTCAGCAGTGGATTTAAGCCATGTTATTAAATTTACGAGCCACATTGTTAGATGCAGAGACATGACGTTTTATGAACGACCCTTTCACAGTTATCGAAAATCTCACAATGAAAACCTTTTTCGAAACCGGTTTATACCCTTATATAAAGAATAAAAGTAAAGAAGACGTAATTTTCCACCGAATGAGTAAAAGAATGAATACTGTTGTGCATGTTTTCCATGAAATATAATTGAATTTATATGGGCATCGAAAATCGATCGAAAAAATTCATGCGAATTAAGTAGCCATTTTTTTTACGGAGTTTAGCTTTTTCATGCTGCCGAAAAGAAGTTCGATCAAAAGCCGGCATTCCGCGGTAACAGAACTATTATAGAATTATGCTGCTCGATGATTAGTTCTCCAACTCTGCTTAATTAATCTTTTCGAAACGAAAACGCATTTCGGAATTTCGGTTCACATTTCGTGAGTGGGCTTTAACTGACCAAGCCACAAGGACTGTTCGTCCAGATGTGCCCGCGGTTCAATTTAGAGTTTTTATACAGCCTCAAACAGAAAAGAAGGACAAGAATGGCGATTGCACGTAGATAAGCTCCCGTTAGCCAGGTTTGACGAAGCCTACGTCTACAAGTACTTCAAAGTTTCATTTAGAAAATGGGAAATTCTTTGGGAATCAAATGACGCTTAATGCGTAATTTTTCAACTAGGGTTCTCTACCTCGCCTTCGGCTGCACGTCCATTTTTCATCCATAGAGCACACGATAATCTGAAACATTAGGCTGACAAAATTTCCATATGCAATTATCTGCATTTATGGCACACATACATTCAGTTATATACTGAAAGGTGAGCATCCGCTGAATGAGTAATTAGAAAGAAATAGGTTCTTTGGAAAACGTAACATACTCTTTTCTGTAAATTTTTGACAGTGACTCATCAGGCCGTCTTCAGACGTGTGGCGAATGTGAAAAACAGTCAACATTTTTTATTTGGCCAAAAAATTGATACCGCCCCATGATTCCCGCCAGTGAGTCATGGCTTTAGTTGACATCTCGCGTTGATTGGCTGTGGCCTTTTCCATGTTTCCTTGAGATTATTGGAAAGAGTGTCTAGACATATGTGCCGGCTAGTGCATAGTTCATCGAAGTAGATAGCTTCCAAAAATTCCCGGTCCTTTTAAGATGGACAGACACCACCAATGCGAGTTCTATCACAAACAAATTTATGGCCAGTTTCTAAAATGTGCATGTCAAGTTGGAACAAATAGTCTCGCCGCCTTACGGCCAGTTGATGTTCGTGTATGTGTGTAGAGGCTGATTTTCTAGTTTAACCGCAGAATACTGGATTACCGGTGTTAGACGCACTGTTGTGGACGACCACTTTCCTATCCAAATAGCTAATCCTATCCATAGGGTTTACGAGCTTGTTGCCCAATGTGGCCGGTGCTTTGTGCGCCAACGGTATTTGATGCTTCCTTGGGTGTCTTTCGACGAGTACAGAAAGATTTTTTATGTACGGAAGTGTTCTGTAGGTGTTCTATTATAGCGCTTTATCAGATCAAACCAGTTTCTTGACTTTTTCTTTTACTTTATGCTGTCTCATGCAGCAGCGTACGCAATCTCTGTTTAGCACGTTCACCACACGTCTGTGGACGACCTGGGTTATCGTTTTCGAAAATTCACTGAAATAAAGTTTGTCGCGTTTCTCAAAGGAATTATTACTCTCTAATACATTTAGCTGTACGTTTATGTGTGCTTACTGTCTTTAAAGAATACGGAAAGTACTTTTGCGAGCAGACTAATTTTGCTTTGTACATAGGCGTGCTTGGTCTATCCAATGATCCTATTAGGGCAATTCCAGAGTAGATTTAAAGCACAAGAAGCCTAACCAGAATATTAGTACGCGTTAAAAAATTCCGAGCTTATTCTATAACATGTTGTATTTGCTCATATTTGCAGATGTTTTGGATCGCGGGCCACCAGACTTTATTCGGTAGGCGCACTTATAATAAATTCTAACTTTGTATGTGTAGCGACGGGCCCCTTTTGCAGGGCTGTATCACGTCCGTTGGCATCCAAAACGCCCCTAATCTTCGTGTTGCGCAAAATCATGGTCACTGTACGCTCTGGATCAGGGGGCGTGCTGGTACGACGTGTTGTATGTTTTTTATCCAATTAGCCACCTGCGGTAGTTGTGGCAGCAAGATTATTATCGTTATAAAACGAATAGCGCGCAAGTCGTAGCTCCCTATCTTGCCATAGAACAAACTATGTACATACGCGTAAACAATGGCGGAACTGTCATGTGCTCAGATCCTCAGGTGTGCTATTACGACGATGGCCACCACCACCACCACCACCACCACCACCACCACCACCACCACCACCACCACCACCACCACCACCACCACCACCACCCCCACCACCATCATCCTCATCACCACCACCACCAACACCATTCTCACAGTCTCACCGCCACTGCCCCACTTGGTGTTCACCAAGTATCAACCACAGTTCTGGGCTCGCTATGTTGATGGCACCCTCGTCGTTAAAGCAACTGACATTGATCACCTAAAGGAAATACTGGACTCGGTTGACCCGGATATCCAATTTACGATGGAAACAGAAACAAACAACCAACTGCCCTTCCTTGTCGTGCTTGCGCACCGGTGTACAACTGGAAAACTGCAAACCGCAGTATTCCGAAAATTCACCGACGCGAGACAGATCCTACGCTTCATCAGCAACCATCCTCTGTCTCACAAACGTAGCTGTGTCCGCACTCTATTCCAAAGGGTTGAAGTACACTGCAGCACGTCGGAAAATAAAAGGGCCGAACGATTGTACCTTGTGAACCTATTTGCAGCCAATGGTTATCCCAGACATTTTATCGAGAGAAGCAGACGTCAGGCGCACAGACGACTGCCAAATGAACAGCAAACTGAAGTCTAGAGGGCCATTCGCTACGTTAAAGTCGTCTCTGAGGCGGCCGCTCGATTGTTACAACCTGCCATATTAGGCATAGCCAACCGACCCCAAGCAACAATCCGACGCCTTCGGATACAACCTAATGACCCATTACCACCCGCCGTAACCTCAGAAATCATCTACAAAATAAATTGTAATGAGGGTGACTGCAACTCTGTGGAATTAACCGGTCGGAAATTGCAAACTCGCCTACGAGAGCACAAATCGGCTTCTCAGAGGTTAGACCCAAACTCGCAATTAGCAACACGCGTTGGAGAATCTGGGCATACTTCCGATCTCCAGCGAGCTACCATCTTAGGCCGGCGCAACACAAAAGCAGAACGGCTAACCCTCGAGGCGTGGTTCTCCTATGCCAACTCCATCAACAGGCATCTGAAACTTCCCACAGCTTACAAAGTCCTACGGCATCACAATCGTAGAGCTGAGGACCAAACAACAACACCTAACTTAAAAAGGCCATACTGAGACAGCCAGACGGCAAGTTCGCTGGGTAAAGGAGAACAATAACCGCCAGACCTACCATCGACAATGGTTCAATCACCTTCCCCGACGGAGTGGTGACTCACAAAGCACAAGATACGAGCATGCTACGGCAGCTCTAAAGAGTAAAAGCACGTCTTGGAAACAATATTTTTCCTCCCCTTAAATTTCGGATTCTCACCTTAAACTATTATTAGAGACAATTGCAGAAAGGAGGGATGAATGTTAAGTGGCTACGGTATTTGTATTGTGTAGCTGCCGTGGAATCATTGCGGACACTAGCTACTGGAATATTAGAAAGCAAGCGATTATCGCACCAATTACTTGATTCATGCATCAATCGACGCATCGATCTTGACGCCATGTACACAAATCTCAAGGAAAAATGGAAAAGGTAATGACCAATCAAGACGTGACATCAGCCCACAGCATCAACCCATCCTCAGCCATGACAGAGCAATATCGATTTTTTGGGCTTGTTAAAATTTTGACTGTTTCTTCACACTTACTACACGTCTGAAGACGAGCTGGGGAACCAGACTCGAAAATTTACGAAATAAAGTTTGTTCATATTCCCAAAGGACTCATTTTTCTTCGAATTATGTATCTTGGGATGCCCATCTTCCAGTATATATATATATACGTGGCATAACGTGGTTATTCCACAGTAGTTGATTGTCTTCGACTCAAATATTCATTGAAATTTCGGTTCTGACCCTAAAAAGTCATGTCCCGGAGATTTAACTCCAAGTTCTGCACTGATTAATTTCTGAAATTATTCACCTGATTATTCTCTGGAGTTCATATACCGGAAACCGCTAGAGAACGCTGGGGGTCCCACTGAAGAGCCGAACCCCTCGCAGCTGTGTCACGCAGCGGCAGAATATCGGCGAAACACGTGTCTGGGCTTTTAGCAAGTATCTAGGTCGGGAGTACGGTATACTACCATTACCATATGGAATTCATACTACTCGTAGTACTACTTGTTTGTAGAATGGGCATTACGTGGTTATTCCACAGTAGTTGATTGTCTTCGACTCAAATGTTCATTGAAATTTCGGTTCTGACCCTAAAAAGTCATGTCCCGGAGATTTAACTCCAAGTTCTGCACTGATTTATTTCTGAAATTATTCACCTGATATATATATATATATATATATACATATATACATGAATATAAATGAGTGAAGATTCGTGAAATATAAATGCATATAGTTGATGTGGTAATGGCATCTAGTAAATCATTCAGCCCTGTGCATCCATCAGCCCAATGTGTATTCGTCTCTGATGGTAGGTGTGTGGATGCAGCCAATGGTCCATTTCATCAGCTATTCAAAATAAAATTGTAATTTTTGAGCTGTAAACGTTTCTAAAAAATGCAGTCCAGCGCAAAGTATAGTTCACTGAGATGTTTTTTTCCTAAACACTGACGATCGCTTTAAATCAGTGCGTATGCCCTTGGACATATGCTGCCATAAAAGAGCGTATGGTGCGCCAGATTGACCATCTGGTGCTAGCGACTAACACACTTAATGTTTCATGTTTCGCGCCGAAATGCACGTACAACTGCGAAGTTTCTTTTACCAGCAACCCATATGCTGGGATGTCTATATATATTTTTTGTTGACTTAAATGACAGTAACGCGCGATCTCGCGCATTGACGGAGGGCAAATGAAAAAATAAAAAACGACCCTCACAGTTTTGTTATCAACAACTTTTACATCAGCCAGTTGTACCTCTAAACCTTTTCCGCAATGTTCTGACTGTCACGCGATTTTAGGTTGTTTGCCCACTTCTTGAAAGTTCGCAACCATCAATCTAGCCGCAAAATCTTCATTGTCTTTTATGAAATTGTCAGAATCTGAAGCTGCTGGTACTTCAGCAACCGTCAGACTACACTGTGCTTTTTGAATGGTCCGATGTTCCACGTCAATTGCCAAAACTGCCTCCTTTCAAGTTACTTGCAAAATTCCCCAAACGGCTTGAACCATACCGAAATGTGTTCGCGATCAGTGAATAATTTATTGAGTTCAAAAACTAAACATTGAACAAATGGCAGTCGCCGAAGAAACAAACAAAAACTGAAAACGTTTTTGCATTATAACAAAAGACAGTTAGAGGAGAAATCAGGAGGTTGTTTTCATTTTCTCAATTTTAATTTTTAATAAGGACGGATTTTAACGCACCATAGGGACGCTTCCCGCCTCAAATAGGGTAAGCGGCTAACAATACAACCAAAAACGCGAGATTTCGGTAGAAATATTTCACTCAAAATTATTTTGTTACTCTGCTGCAATCGTTTCCTCTGATAATCACTCTTTCATACAATTCCATTGCTCTTTCTGAGAGGCAGAAAATTTTTTTGAAGAATGAGACACGATCGCTAGGACAAGAGCTTAATTAGCCTGGCGGTTTGGATTCCCTTTTGAATCCATCATCAGAAACAAAACAGACACGGGTGGTTCATGCATAAGGGGCTGCAGTATTTATAGGATGCTGTAGCCATGCTACCGCTTACCGATGAATGTTCACGGCTCCCCCTTTCATCAGGGATCGTTGCACGTGGTGTGATGGCCAACATTCGCGTCGTAAATTGCTGCAATTTCATCACGTGCCTTGGATGTTTGTGTGATGATGGCTCGACAATCAGACGTGCTGACGTCAGGCTAATAAAGCTCTTGCCCCAGTGATCGTGTCTCCTTCTTCAGGACTACTTCCTGTGACTCGTCTCTTCGTTTCTGTTAGAAAAAATTTGTTTTTTGCCCTTTGTGAAAACTGTATCTGATTTTAGGCTTGCCCAAACGCGATTAACGACATATGTTGCAGTCTAATTCACTTGTACATCTCTACAGAGCGTTACACTGTTCCATCGGCCCCGTTTAATGCCTGTGTTTATCAAGCTGCACTTCCCTCTCTGGCAGAACAGCGTCTGGTAGCACTCTTGGCTGCATCGAGAATGGACTGTTGGGATACCAATGGCGCAAAGTGCACCACCTCACTTACGTAAATATTAAGAGGTTTTACTTAGTTTCTCAAAATGTCCACCTTTCTCCGTATATAGCAAACTGTAAACGTCGGCCCTTAGGCATCGGAGGGAAGAATTCATTAAGTGTGTCTTCGTTTTAACTAGCGCAGTGCAATAACGCCAAGCAAAATGGAGTACGCATGCGCTGCGCATGGTAAACAAATCAGCCATTTGCCAGTTTTGAATGAACTATAAGCCATCTGCCTCAGAAAAACGTAAACAAATAAGTGAAACCTGTTTTATGTGATAAGCATTACTTAAAAGAAAATACGATGTGCATTATCGTGCAGTATGGCCCACACTAGTGTCATACACGATTTCATTTGCTTCATTTATTGTCAATCAAGTCCTCAGTAATCTCTTGCTGGTTTAAATGTTAAGATACATTTATAATTCTAAAATAATGTTGAACACATTATGCCATGACACTTGCGTCTAGGGTTTGCAAACTTCAATATGAATATTTCAAATTTAAGTGGGCTCCGGAACATTTCGGTCTCATTAAATAAGTGTCATACAGTGCTCATAAACCTTTGCAATTGATAAGGACTGGGTTCCACGCTGCAAATCTTTCTAAAGGAACCCTTTACCCTACTATAAATTTTATAATTGCAACCCTTTTGGGTATAAACCATAAAAACCTTAATTTGCAATTAAACAATTATGCGAGTGAACATTTTTCAAATGTTTTGACGAAATGTGTTTGAATGTAAAAAGACATTGAAAACAGTTGAAGCATTCACATTATGAATATATATAGGCCTTTTTTCGCGTGCAACCTCTTTAGGCGGTCGGAAAGAAATGCACACAAAAGCCGACATCTTGGCAAGAAGGAAATCCACAGAAGTGCGCTCGATGATAATTAGTGCGAAAACCCCACTAAAATAACCCGTTCAAACTGAAAACAGATTTTGGGGTTTTTCATAACATTTTTTAACCCACGTTACCTAGGTCTCGGTGTCCGGCTCTAAAATATGCTCTTGTGCGCATGAGAGTCCCGGTGGTGCTGGTGTTCGCCTGACCTTGTGCAGGAAGCAGCTACCACTGCATAAACAGATTTTTTTTATTAAATATCACTGCATAATTCTGGCACATTTGCGCGGATACTCGAGCAATTCAGTCTCTACGGGCCACACGTCCGCATATAATCCCTAAAGTTTGGTGGGCGGATAGGGTGAGCATTTTAGTCCCCCCCCGGCAGACAGATTAGTGTCGCAGAACGCTAGACATCTGATTGGAAGGAGCTGACTAACGACGACTGACATTCCAGCAGTGAATTAGATTTCACCGATGAGGTTTTAAATGCCTAGGTTCGAAAATACTATAAAAGGCATTTTTAATTGCTAGAAACGTGAATATTTTTGGTGCTGTGTTAAGTGACTCAGCTTTTGGTATCAATAAATATAACCATTTGTGCCTGTATTTAATTAAGAGTTATGAAAAAATGGCAGTGTTTTA